CTACTGAAAAACTAAGTGCCGGTCAACAGTTACTTTAGACATCCGAACACCCAACATACAAGGTAAACAGCCTAACAGACAATTTACGTTCCGGAGAACTTTGGCGTGTCCACTACAGAACAGCTACCACCCAGAAAAAGAATGTATCAGCAATTACTAGGTCCAAAGAGGATAGAGAATACAGAAGACTTACCTCTAGAACGAAGTACCATGCAGCGAGATACAAAGCAACCAACCCGGCAATCGTTAAGTCAAACATGGACGATTTCAGTCTACAAAGAAATAAGCATTGGGATCGAGAGTGGAGTAAAGCCAGCTTCGGCACAGTCTCAGAATTCGGAGTTCAAAAGCGGGGCAATGGAACGTAAGTTTAGAAAAGTAAAGCAGCAAATAACCGGCAAAAATGGATTTGCCAGACAGAGATCCATTCCATTCCATTCACACAGTGAAAAAAATAAACGCTATCTCATTAACGGTTTCGCTCTTCAAAAACAAGAAAGTTAGTCCTCTGCGAAAGAATAAAAGCGAACTAGAACAAACTACGAATAACCTAACCAAACTACAGCTTCTAAATTAATTGTTTGTAAGGGTGCCGTTTTGGATCCGCGGATAATCAGAATAATAAGGATCACCGTTTTAAAACAAAATACTGAATTAGCTCCATCAGTACTCGCTTTTTTTAAAAAGCATGCCTGGGTTGTGTACAGCAGCAACATGAAGATGAAGAACTTTTGAAAAGTAACTTCAACAGCGTCCCATTATCTAATGCCGACATTATATATTAGACGCTAACCATACTGTGAATGCAGATCCGATGTTTATAGGTAGCTACGCATTAGAGGCAGCAGCAGACGCAATGGATCAGCAAATACAGGGTCGTCAGTGGACTTTCATTGGGGAGATTATGAGAGGAGCCATTCATTGAAGGCAATAGCTTGGATGCATGAGCACCATTGAGGGCGCGACTGAGCCGTATCTAACAATGTCTCCAATCACTGATATGCCTCGTCTGGAGATCCTCATCCAGGGAGACGGCAGTGGCCAGGGCAGCTGCGTTTGCTGGTAACGGCTTTAATAATTCCTGCAGAGTCACTATTTGACCTCCCCTGGCTGGTTCCCACTTTTCAAGTGGTTGTGGAAAGAGTTGTTCGACAGAGTCCGTCAGCTGATATGGGGAGCAGGTAGCCAAGCCAACCCAAACTATGGAGTGTTATCAGTTCACTTATCGCGGGCAAGCTATTTCTTCCGAATACTATTCGACGTAATTCAGCATTACTGATACGGTGTTTCCACCAGACTCGGACAATGTTCTGAAGACGTCGGTAATCAAACATCGAAGGCTTTTTGACGTCCCAGATACGCAGCGACCAGGTTTCTGACTAGCGTAATGATAAGAAGCGCACCGCAGTATCATAAGCTCCACCATCGACAAATAAGTTGATGTCATGCCTATGCCACAGAAGGTGCAGGTTCACGAAAGCTGCTCCGCCTTCCCCATCCGGATGGAAATATCATCTTTCGCGAGACCACCGGGAGTGAAACAGCTGCTCAGATAAACAAATTTGTCTACTATATCAATTCGCTCATCCGGAAGCATGAGGTTAGGGTTTGAGCCCACCTAGTCTTGCAGTAGCACTTTACACTTTGCAGGTGTGAAGCGCATGCCGAACCGCGAGGCAGAATCATTTAGATTATTTAATATTGTTTGCATTACCACGGGATCAGATCCCAGAAGAGCTATGTCGTCTGCGTACTCGAT